TATTTGGCCCACCTATTTTATGATCGTTTTAAATTTTTTTCATTTTTGCCTTCTTTTGGATTAATCGAGTGTTTTCGTAATTTCATCTCCCCTCTGTACTAGGTCTTTAGTTACTGTTTTATTCTTCTTTTAGTGGATACCCTAGAGGTTACAACATGCATCCCTGAGTTACCCATTTCCTAAACAGTGCAAGAGCCCTAGAACACAAAGTTTTTTTACTACCTCTGCAACTTTGCTGTCATATATTTTAATCCTGTATGTTTTTTCTCCTTTTTGTTTTCTGTTTTTAGTTATATCTGACATGCATAAAGTGAATACATCTTAAGTTTGCAGTCTTTAACTAATTTTTACATATGTATAATCCCAAGTAACACCACCTAGATCAAGATCTATCCTTTCTACTACTAGCCAGCTGCCAAAAAAAAAAAAAAATCGTTTGTGCCTTTTGATATTTGTCTTTAATTTTCTAAAGTTTCATTATGATACGTGTAGGTGTGAATTTCTTATTTATTCTGCTTGCAATTTATTAGACTTCTTAATCTATAAGTTAACATCTTTCATCAGTCGTGGAAACTACTCAGCTATTATTTCAATTATTGTTTCTCTCCCATTCTCTTTCTCTTCTTTTTCTGGGATCCCAATTGAATGTATGTTAGCCCTCTATTTTTTTACCAACTTGTCCGGTCCAAAAAACTTTTTCAGTAACTTGAGATTCTGAGACATGTTCTTTTCAAATAGGATTTTGAAGCTCATTAACAGGCTTGGCCATAATAGGTGGATAGTGGGAAGGTACTAACTTTTAAATGGTTATCAGAGAAAATATCTGATAAACTATATGATAATTTTTGAAAGGGCAGTCATATGAAAAGTCTTATACAATAGTTTGGTTTTTTTAACCTGAAAGAGATTATGGAACAGCAGCTTTCTATAAAAAATTGCAGATTGGTAAAAAGAATTGTAAAAAGTAGATTTTTAATATCAGGAGAGAATTACAATTCATTATCTCAAGTTACTGAGTCCCATTAAAAAAATTTTTTTTTAATTTTACAATAGAATAGTTGTATTTTTAGCTAAGTACTTTCTACTTTTTCTTCTATTTACAATGTGGCCTATTTTTTGTTTCTCCATTTTAGGATGGTCTTGTTAATGTAGGATGGATGGACTGTGCCACCCAGGACAACCTTTGTAAAAGTTTGGATATTACAACGAGTACTACTGCTTATTTTCCTCCTGGAGCCAGTTTAAATAATAAAGAGAAAAGCAGTGTTTTGGTATGAATTGCTTTAAAGTAACTCTTTACATATAAATGTATACACACATGAATTCAAAAGTATACATCAGTTATTAAGCAGTGAGCAGGAATTGAATCAGTTTATATTGTCTGATTGTGAAATATTTCATTATTTAGAGAAAATATTTAATTTCTGGGATTTGGTTTAATACATCCTTTAGTTTGTATGGTCTGTTACAAGGATTATTTTTAAACTTACGTGTACATTACGTTTAAAACCATTACACTTTTAAACCCCAAAGGTATGGAATACATTCTTAAATTACATGAAAGAACACTTATATCATCAGTTTTCATTGCTTTCCATTTAATTGTATATTTTCTAATGTTAAGAATATAGATCAGTGACAGTTCAGGCTGGGGCCCATGTATTCATTTTATTAAAGCACCCTGTGGGATTCTGATGTAAACTCAGCTTAGAGATTTACTGATGTCGTTCACCCCCCTGTGATTATGCATGAGGAAACTGAGGCTCAAGCTAGTTGTCAAGGAGCTAAGGTAAATAATGGAATATTGGGTAGGTTCCTAGAAATTCCCAAAAGAAAATAAAGGACTGTGATATAGACAAACTTCCTTTAGTTTTCTTCTCTGTATTTTAATTCTGCTTTTTTAGATGTTGATAAAGATAACACTCATTTCACAAATTCATATATGGTACAGAATTGTGTAAAGAAAGATGTAAAATTCTCTAAAAACAAATCACTCAGACAATCACCATCAAATTTTGGTAAATATTCTTTCAAATCTCTACTTACATATACGTGCGATTATGACTTTGTGCAGTAACTCTTCAGTCTGTATCTGTGGCTCAGACCTGTGCCCTCCATTCCAAATATGCTACACACACACACACTTATATATGTACTACTGCCTGTTCAACATCTCCCCTGGGATATTAGTCACTGTCTTAAATTTAAATGCCTGATATTTCCCCATAAATAAATGTACCCATAAATTCACCTACAGTTTTCCCCATCTTACTTGGTGAAAACTCCATCCTTTATTATTCAGGCCAAATGCCCTATTTTCATTCTTAATTCTTCTTTTTCTCATACCCTGTAACCAATTCATCAGGAAAATCTATAGCTCTAACTTTAAAATGTTTTCATACACATAAAATGGATGGATGGATGTGGATATGTAATTTTTCGTAAATGGGATCATATAGTAGATTCTACTTTGTAATCTAGTTTTTTTACTCAGTGTATCAGGAAAATTTTTTTCTTGTCAATTACTATACACACACACACACACACACACAATTATACATTTTGATTATGTATTTTATGAATGAGTGTTACCTTTTTAGTAAATAATCCCTGAGTAGAAATCTACTGATGAATGTGACGTACTTAATCCTCTCTCTCAATAGATATTTATTTCTACTTTTTCATGATTATAAGCAGTGTCGTAATAAACAGTTTTGTATGTTCATCTTTGCGTACTTCAGTTATCTGTTTAAGGTGGCATGGGTGTAGAAATTTTAAATTGAAACCATATTGCCAGATTACCCTCCAGAAAAATTGTGCTAGTTTACACTGTGCCTTCAGTTCACGAGGATTGCCTACACCCTGGGCAACACTTATTATAGCCTCTTTCCCTCAGGTCTACAATCTCATTTTAGTTGAGATCTTTGGGCTTTTGACACAAATTTGCAGGCTCATATGCTGTCTTAAAGAGGAAACAGAAGTGAGTAACACTAGAAATTTAATAACAGGGAGTAGTGGTGAATTAAACACTCCTTGTCCTTCCTAAAAGCATTCAAGATTAAAAAATGTCAATCACTATGCCAGCTAAATGTGTCTGGAAGGTGAAATTCAGAGGCTAGACAAGCCAGTATCATCTATAGGTGTAACTAGCAAATTCTACTCTATCAGGTTTGTAATGAGTTTCTTAATCACTCACACACTCATATATGCTGTTAGAGGAGTACTTTTAGTGAACTCTTCATAATGAATGTGACTAAAGTGACTAAGCTATAGAACTGAGGCATGAAAGATTTCTGTTTTGGCATTTTAAGCCCTTTGGTAGCAGAAAATATTTCATGTAAATCTTTAAGAATGTTTATGCTATAGATTTTTAAAAATAAATAAAAACAAGTCTTAAGAAACTTAGGAAAAAAAAAACAAACTTGAATTTTCTATTCTTCTGTTATACCTGCTATTTCTGTTCATATATTCATTCTCATATCTATCACTGTTAAGCTGTGGATTCTGTGATAGTTCCTACAGGTTTTTAATGGAGTTTCAGATCTTTCAAATAATATTTGAATTGTTGAACATAGATAGTTCATAATTAAAGATACGAGGATACTTCGAAAAGTTTGTGGAAAAATAGAAATAAAAGATAATATGAATCTTTCTGTGAACTTTTTGAAGACTCCTCATATGTATTAAACTCTGTTTTGTCAGCCCTCACATGCATTTTGTTGATGTAACCATTGTTACATTCTGTACAGTAATTGCTGTTTCATTGAGAATTAGACCAGCAGGGAGAGTTCTATGAAAAAAAAATATGCTGAAGGTAAAATATGGACAGAAATAAAGGAGATTTGTTAGAAGGGAAGTGTGGCTTTTTTAGTTTTTTTGTTTGTGTTCTAAATAAGAGGCCTGAATTTAAAATGTGTAAGATTAGATCTCTGTCAGTATATTTTACTCCAAAAACTCCTATGTGGTTTGGTTTTTAGACATTATCATTTAGACAGTAAATATAATAAATGAATGTTTATTCAAAAAGATTACAATATTTTCTTATTCTAGTTTCTTAATTCATTGGATGCTAAAGAAATATATTTGGAAATAATACGTTATCTTCCAGATTTTGAACTACTTTCGGCAAACACACTAGAGGTAATGTTTTTATTAATAATAATAAATGGCAATAAATGTTGGTAACATTTCACGTATTAACATTTTAAAATCAGGATTCATTTTATGTATTACTAGAGAGAATTGAAAGTAGCAATTTCAAAGGATTATATATTCGTCAATTCTAGGTTAAATTCTAATTGTTGGAGTTCTGGTGTTGCTAATTCAGGGTGGATCTGTAGTTCTAGGAGACCTCCTTGAAGATGGGCTTCAAAAGCAGTGTCAGAAAAGGCAAGATTTTGATCATAAAGCAACTTTGTATCTGATTTGGAACACTGAGAATTAAAAAGCATTCAGTTTGTGAATAGAGTGCTTAGAAATATTCAGTTTGTGGTAGAATCAAGTATTTTTTCTGTATATAAATCACAGAGCTTTATCCATATTTCTACTAAATCTTTTGTTAAATCTGAAAAAGCTGGGGCTGACCAGTCAGTTCAGTTAGAGCTCAGCCTTGTAAC